TAATGTTATGTTATGAAGTTGGGTTTTGTTATTTTAGGAGTATGTGTATTGTCCGTTTGTGTGTATACCGTTCCAGTGATTTCTTGTCATTGTTTCCTATTGTTTGGACCGTGGGAATATCAGATATTGTTGTAAGCTCAAAGAATCTTGGTGCTTTAAAATAAATATATTGTTGGAAGCTGCAATTCTGTTAACATAGTGTCTATTTTTGTATATCGTGGATAGTTGTTTATGATTCTCATGCAGATGTTTTGAATCACTTCAAGTTTTCTGTAGTTAGACTTAACAGGATATAACTCCATAATGAGGAAGAATATGTGATTATATTTCAGATATCTGCTTTATATAAAACCAATGTATTATTTTTAAGATAATTCGGAATATCTATTGAAATACGGGGACATTTTCCTAATAATTTATTTGCTGTATCGCATTTATTGTTTACATGCAGGGTGAAATTTAGGCACTTATCAAGTTCAAGGCCTAAATATTTCTCCAATTGGACCATGGGATCTGTTTGTCTTTTATAAGTATGTTAAGAGTTATACTTGGTCTTCGTTTTGTGAAAATTATTGCTCCTGTTTTTGTTCGTTTAATTTTATTTTCCATTTTCCAAAGTATTTGATGAGTCTGATAAAGTGAGATTGTAGTCTGTTTGTTATTATATAAATTCTGAAAGATGTATAGATAGCTGTATCATCTGCATATAGTGAGTATTCTACTGAAGGGAAGGAAAGGATATCTGAAATATATAGATTAAATAGGGCAGGAGAAAGACAGGATCCTTGAGGAAGACCTGCAGATAGGGAATAGAATGAAGAATGGATATTCTTTACTGTAATGCAAAAGGATCTATTGTTGAGATATGAGTAAAGGAGGTGGATTACGTAGGGTGGGAATTTATATAAAATGAGTTTATGGATGATGCCCTCATGCCATACTGTGTTGAATGCTTTTTCTGTCTAGAAGGAGGATACCAACGTGCTTCTTTTCATTGAACGCTTTGGTAATGTAGTCGGTCAGTCTAGCTAATTGGGCTACTGTTGAATGATTTTTTTCTGAAACCGAATAGCTCGTCGGATATAAATTATTTTGAGTTATATAATTCAATATTCTTTTTAAGAGCAGTTTTTCAAAATTTTTAGATATTTGTTAAGATGGCTAATTGGTATGTAGTTTCGAACGCCTGCTGGGTCTTTATTTGGTTTTGGGATGGTGATAATTTTTGCTGCTTTTCGTGATGTTGGGAAATATCTGAAGCGAAAACTATTATACGGAATTTATTCTTTATATAAATAAAAAATTGTAGTTGAGAAAGTACATTATCGGTTTCGTATTGATAAGAAACCTGTGGTATAGTTTTGATCATGGCAGTTTTGATAGTTATTACAAATTTATCAACTGTTAAATCTATATCAGAGTAAATTTTTATAGTAGGGTTGATTTCTAAATTTTCATCAACAATTTTTCGGAGTTTTTTTCCAATTAGCTAAATTGAGTTTGAATTTTGTGGTGGTGCTGGTTTCGATGTGTATATTCTCAATTCAGAAGATCACCGTGTTATGATCCGAACTGAGACAAAGAAGCCAAACGATGAGAGAAAGGCCAGAAATATTTTTAGTGAGGGCTAAGTCAATTTTTTTCTGAGTAGGTATGTAAGTTGGCTCATTTGGAGCATGCAATTCTATATTTTTTCTTGATATAAAATTTAATAATAATTTTCAATTTTTATTCGTGATATGGCAGTTCCATGGTAAATTTTTGGCATTCAAATCTCCGAAAATTAATGTGTGTTTTCCAATATTAAACATAACTCGAAGATCATCAGCATTTATTTTATTAGGAGGGATATAAATTGCAAATATGTTGAAAATTTTGTTTTTAGCCTTTAATTGAATTGCAGTCGCTGTCGCGTATTTTAAATTATCGATCGGTCTGTAAGCATGCGGTAGGTTAGAACGCACTAGTATCATAACACCCCAGCCCGCTCTGTTCCTGTTCTTCCTGTATACAATGTAGCCAGGGGCCAAGAATCTGTCCTGAGGAGAAAAATGGGTTTCGCTTACTGCCACTATGTGTGGTTGATTTTGATGTAGAAATTGGTTGAATTCTACATCATTTCGACAAAGCGTCTGGGCATTCCTCATCATTAATTTTAAATGTCGTCTATCGTTAGTCATTATGATTAAAGAGTATTATATAATCATAAATATAAAGATGAAAATAAAAATACATAAATAGGAGTAACAATACATATAAGTAAAGATATGTGAACATTAATAGGTAGTCAGAATATATTAGTTTACGATATAGAAGATGTAGTTTTGTTTTTGTTTTTATTATTGCTTATGTTTTGTTTGACGTAAACTTAGGAAATTCAATATATGTATGTTCAGAAGTTAAAGTGAAAGTGTTTTGCTATTCGCGTGGAAGTTGTGTATTTACATTGGATTGTACTCACTTTCAAGTCTGCTGCACACAGAGGATTATTGCAGCTAACATATTTAGTATGTGATATTAAACTAATAAATAAGTGAATGTTACATAAATAGCATCTTCTTAAGCCTATATTAAGCATATTAAACTTTTTACTAGTAATCAATTGAAGATAATAACCCTTCTACTACAATGAATATTTTAGACATGCTGTCTTCTTGTTAAACATTCAGAAACAGATGGCTCATTATCAGAAGAGCTGTTTTCAGGGAATGTTTTTTTAAACCATTTTGAGTCAGTTTTTGGTAAGGAAGGAAAATCATTTTGTTTTGGCTTGAATATTTTCCGTTGTGAAGGGTTTATAGTTGGTCGGTGTTTGCTAAGCTTCAATTGCTGGTTTCGTATGAAGTGCTAGCATTTTTCGTAATTTGACAAATGTTCTTCATTGCAGTTACTGCACTTCGAGAAGAAATCTTCAAGTATAATATTAGGATAGTCTTTTAATAAGTGTTCCTCCGAGCACTTCAGGCAACGGGATTTTTTGAAGCAGTTTCGAGCTACGTGATTATATTCTTGACATAAATAACATAGTGTCAAAACCTTTTTACTCACATATTTTCCCCATGAAATAACAACATTATTACAGTATTTTATACGATTAAGTTTAACCTATTGCTCTTTATTATTTAGTATAACTATTGATAATGGTAATTTTTTTATTTTTTAACACCTTCACATTTTTTAATCATTTGGAACATTTTGTAAATTTCTAAGCCTTGTTTATTTAGGTTGGCCTGAATGTCTTCGATAGAATAGTCCGGGTGCATTTTAATACCACTTTAAGCTTAATTTCATGTTTAGGAGTATAGGTGTGGAAGTTATGATTGAGTAATTTATGTTCATTTTTGATGTTCATGAAGTCTTCATTACTGTGTACATAAAAAATAGTTTTGTTTCCACCGTATTTAATATTTATATCTTTTACTGTACTTTTAATTTTGTAATTATCTTCTTGTGATTTGAAAAAGAGGAATGAACTACTATCGGGGGAAATTCGTGTAAGTTAGTATTTCCTTCAATTTGGTCAGATATCTCTTTATCTTCTTCTTCGTCGGATAAAACGGAGTAGCTATTTTGAGTAGGTATATTATATAAGTTTGACTCACCTCATCTTCTTTTCGGAGCTGGATTAAAGTGTCCATCTTTTTTTGAAGTGCTAGGAGTAGCTTCTTCGTCTTCCATGATCACTTTACTCCCCCAAAGGGCATTCTTACATGAGAAATTGCTTCCAAAAATAATCTAAAGTCCAGAGCTTATAAATATTTAAACTATACCGGTGTTATGGTTAACATTATTTGAAAATTGAAATAAAATAAAATAAAACTAAACAAATGAATGCAGTAGTTATAGTGTCTACTCAGCGGCTGCTAGAGTTTGACTGAATAATGTCACTAATTTCATCTCGGAGACTGTGGTTTGGATTCTACACAAAAAGTAATATTCTTATCTTTATTATTCTAATTAATTATAATATAATATAGCCTCATAAATAAGGGATTCTTTGCCCTCCTCCCTCCTCCAAAGACTCTGCTCGAAGTAACTGACTGAATGGAGGTTTTATATTATTGTAGAGATCATTTATGTGATAATTTATAGTAAAACCTCGTCACAATAATTTATGCTACAAATTTAGGTCATCTGCCCTACTGTGGGCCGGTCCTGCCGCCAGCATGTGTGCACTACATTCACTCCTTCCTAGAAGTAATAAACGAAATACCTATTCTTCTGGAGGACCAATAATCACAATCCTTTGCCCTTTTCGGATTATTAAAGATAATAAATAATACAATTGTAAAAATGATTGATTAAATTCATAGGAAAAATCAAACCAAGAACTGTAAAGATTAATGATACAAAAACAGGTATATAATTAATAAATTACACGATCGTTATAAAAGGAAAATAAACAAAATTCGCAAATTCAATGAATGTGTGTGAAATAAAAAATTTAACAAAATTTAGAATAGTTATAATTTCGTATAATAAATCTAACTATAAGTCTAACATTTCGTCTAATAAGTCTAACATGTTTCATCGCAGTATTTATTAATAAAAATGGATAATATAGTGAATATTCAATTCAGACAATTAAATTACAGTTCACGAATGAAATGAGATACACTGGATTATTGTCACTTTTTATGAGTTATTAAAGAGGAGATCGCTTGTTCGCTGTTTGATAGTGCTTTTTCCTTTAAGATGCTTTAACTAAATATAAATGTTATTAAAAAAGAAATTTTCCGAAGTTGAAATTATTAAACTTATAGAATTAGCCCTTAACTTGGCAGTGTCAAATTTGAAACATTTATTTTATTACTTAAAAGGAATTTTTTTTTAAATTCTTAATTATTTTTTTAAAAATTTACAAAATGCTAAGACACTTTATCCTTGCTTTATTCTCAATTGTCTGTCAAGTTAATGGTTTAAGATAAACATTAAATATGAATTCATAATATTTAAAAAAGTATATTTATGCATGGATAAACCAGAAACCAATTACCTACTTGCACTATCTCTTCTATAGCTTCAGTTCCTAATATATCATAAAAAAACTAAGAATAATTTCAATAATAAATATAAATAATTTAAAACAATAATCATAAATATAGAATCTTATATGGCAGAAAATTACGAAACATAACTGTCATTTATAAAATTTGAATACAAACATGAACACAACAGTAATTAACATTTCGAATATTATAAATTTTGATTGAATACTATAAAAAGTCGTATCTGGAACGAAAGATTATTATAGCATGCAAGAATTCATTAAAAAACTTACGAAAAACGTAATATTAACTCACCAAAATAAAACTTTATAAGAAAAAAAGTGTTAAAACTGAGTTTCAAATAATCCCTGAGAACCTTGCCTGTCGCCGTACACTGAACTGGCCTGCAACTGTTACTGAAATTCTTTTTTGTTTTTCCAAGAAATATGCTTCCTTACTGCCATCTGGTTTCGAATACTGGAACCGCCTTCAAGAGGCAGTTGGACTGGTTGAGGGCTTCATTATTAATTTAATTTAATTAATTATTATATTTTGTTTTTATCATTCACTCTGGTTTAATAGATAGAAGAAATATAAATTATTTCTTTTTAGGCAAAATAAATTCTTAAACTCATAGTTATTTTAATCAAAACAAATAAATATAAAAAAAAAGAATTTTATTAATGATAGATTTAGATTTAAATAAATAAATGGACTCCTTAGAGTTAAAGGAATGAATGGTGATAATACAGATCATTAATTTGCTTAATTACTATTTATATTTATTATAACCTAGTAATATCATCATTTGTAGATCAAATTCTTTAAAATATGTACCGTTTATTTAACTGCAAATAACTGAGTGTTTTATATTCTGTAATAATAGTATCTTAATATATTAGCATCTTAAATCTCTTGGCTGAAGAGAAGTAGGAAAGTGGTTAAAGCCCCACAAGTACTCAATTGCCTTGTTCTGTTGCAGGCTGAAACATTATCTCAAAAATATTTACAATAGTTGTTTATTAAAGAGAATATAATAGAGATTTAATACAGGTAAAAGAGAAGAACATATAGAAAGTACAAAAACAGGAAATTAAAAGAAAACTGTAATAGTTTTAATATTGATACAAATCAGAACTCCAATCAACTATAAAATAGCTAATTTACTTAGTGTAAAAAATATATGAATTTATTTTTAAAATGGTTTCCCTTAAAGAAAGTTAAAATGTAATATTCTTTTATAAATATTTTGGAATAATACCTGTTAAGTGATTAGTTCCAAAACCTATTGATATTTTCATTTAATTTAAAATTTGTTTATTTATCTGATTTTTAAATATATATAAACATAATTTTGCATGACACATTAGTCTTATTTGGGCCCTAAACAGTGCAAAAAAATATGATCTCATCTAGGTTCTCTATAGTTCAAACATATTTTCAGGTTTGTTGAAGCCATTTATTCATTTTCTATAATATATTTATTAAATCGTATATTACAAATAATTCCACATTTTCATGTTTTAGACGAGTTTGATGTAGGGTGATTTGCCACCTTCATTAGAACTATTTTTTCTGAAAATAATATACAATCGAACTATTTATAAAAAAATCTAATAAAGGTTTGTCCAATTCTTTACTTTCACCTACTTATTATTTTACTTTAACATGAAATATATATAGTAAGGGAAAGTACTGCTTTTCGTACGTTCTGGAGAACAATGTGTTCTTCATTCCATATCCAAAATTTTCAAACCATTACTACACTAACAGATAAATTAATAAATCACCTACAATTCTTCAAAGATGGATATCATTTATAATAAAATGGATCTTTATTCAAATTTTGAGGCCCAACAAAATTTTCATATGATATAATTAGTCACTAGGAAACAACATTTTACTTTACATTGATAAAATAAGGTATACAGTTATTAAAAGAAAAAATATTCTCTATATCATAGGTGGGAAACCTTTTAATCATTAGAGGCCGCATTAAGCATTGATAATGGAGATTGCAATAATTTGTTATATTTTACTTTTTTTGTACTATTTATATCTTGCTTATTTTATTTATAAGTAAATATACACATACAAACACATATCCATTATATTCAGCTTAATGTTGATTTGTTTTTTAAATCTAAATAACAGCAAGCTCATGGGAGCCACAAATGACCTCAAGGTCAAAGGTTCCTTACTTGTGTTTTATATCAGGAGTTTCTTAACTACAGCCCGGGGGCCTGATCCTGCCCTCAAGCACATTCAATCAAACATTCCTCATACCACAAACAACTTCGTACGCTATTCTATTCTGTTAAGCAACAACTTGATGCCGAGTCTTGGATTCCTGTACCAGCTTCCAACAATTCTTTATATCTTGTTCAGCCACCATCCTGCTCTTCACTCCCAACATGGGCCTGACATCACCAATCACACCGTCACTCCACTGAAGCCGAGGTTTTCCTCTACACCTTGTTACATGTATTACTTCTGAAATAATTTTTTTCGGAATGTCATTCTCAGCCATTCGAGTGTCCAGCCCATCTCAATCTATCAAGCTTCATGAAATGAACAACTTCTAATTCTTTAAATAAATCTTTGAGCTTCTGGTTTGTCCATACCTGGTGAACTTTCACAACTCCAAAGATTTTATGCAGTATCTTTCTCTCAAAGACCATTAGACTCTATTCGCCAGTTTTGGAGATAATCCTTGTTTCTGAGCCATAAAGAGGTATCGGCGGGATAACTATTCTATACAATAGGATTATTGTCTCTCTGGGTAAATCAAGGGCCATAATAACGATTGTCACACAGGTCTCTTCACTTAATTTTAGAATCCACAACATTAACTTGAGTTATGAGGGATCCGAGATAAATTCCGATACTTTTTCAATTGAGAAGTCTAGAATGGTGATGCTGTCGTCAGGTCTGGGATTTTCCTCTGCGGCCGTATGTTTGGTTTTTGCAGTGTCGACTTGGATACTCCGTTCCGCTCATCGAAAGAAATTCCATCCCAAAACATCAGTGAGTCACTACAAAATGCTGCCTGGAGAATCACACTGCATGGGGTATACTTTTCTCCTGGGTATTTCCATGTTAAAATACACCCATTGAGACTATCACCTCATCTTTGTAGAAAATTAGCTTTCAATATCCAAATTACATGATTTGTTGCGAGTAAAAGTCTGGCCATTTGTTGAGCTGTGGCAATTTGCTTTTAAATATTAGCATAAAAATATTATTCAGTCCATTTAAAAAATAAAATAAAACAATTGACCGCAAAAGGAGAGGGATGCAGGCAGGATATCAAGCCCTAAGTTTACATTCATTAAGCCTTCTTCTAACAATCCTGATAGAAATCAACTAATTTCGGTCTTGCCTAATGAGATTTTTAATCTTATTTCCGGTGATGTACGAAGCACTCCTTCAGATTCCCTAAAAGATAAGGCGACGACCAAGCTGGATTTAGAGGGGGAAGGAGCACGCTAGACCAGATATTCATCCTAAAACGATAGTAAGTAGCTCAGGATGTCAACGACTTATTTGTCAATTTCAAAGCAGCCTGTTATTCCATGAACAGGAACTGGTTTTGGAAAATCATGACTGAATCGGGATTTCCTGGGAAGTTGGTGAAATTGACGAACATCCAAATGATCGACAAATTACCCTAAATCCCGAATCCTAAGACACGGAGAAGTATCTAAATTATCTATTATTAATGTTTATAAAATATTTAATTATGAGAGGAAAATTAAGTGGGCAAAAAACAAAGAGTACGGAAATAAGGAAGACAGAGTTGAAAGATCTTCTGTCTAAGGGTGGTAGGGAAAGCTAAACCGTTTTCATCACTCTCCAGCGTTCTCTGGGAGTTATCAAGTTCATTTTAAAATCGATGAGCAGCTCTTGTACACGGTTCATTCCTAATGACGAACGGTTCGTTCGCGATTGTGTTGACTTCTGTCATTTAAATATTGTTAGAATTTGTTCTAAATTGATTATTTTGATTTCAGTTTATTAAGTTTACAAATATTTATTTTTTTAAAGAAAGTGAAATAAAATGTCTAGACCTGGGACTAGATTGGACTCCAAAAAAGTGGTTTGTACCAATATGTTTTTATATCTATTAACAAATTTATTTGGTTTATTAAAGAAATTTGTTATTTTTAGAACTCTGAGTTATTTACTTTAACGTATGGGGCTTTAGTGTCTCAACTAATGAAAGATTATGAAAACGTAGATGATGTAAATAAGCAATTGGAGAGAATGGGTTATAATATTGGAATTCGCCTAATTGAAGATTTTCTGGCCAAGACAGGTTCTGGTAGATGTTATGACTTTCGGGACACCGCTGAAAAAATACAGGTAATAATTCCAGCAAATTGTATTCAATATTTTTCCATATTTCATTACGTAGCTTTTGTAAAACCTGTTTAAATATATATATATTAATCACGACAAGTTTACAGAGTTTTCCTTTGAGAATTTATAAAACAATGTTACATACTTTAGTGCATAATATTTGACTTGTTGAAGTGTTGTTCCACTTTTATGGGTGGACACAAGATCTCATGATGATACTTTACATTAACTTTCAAGAATGGCCGGTATTAGCCTGTTCTAAGGTATAAGTTCCTTTATTTAAGTCAGGAATTATGTCTTGCCCATACTTCCAGCTCGTGGTAATTTTCAGATAATATCAAGACCTTATTTATCATTAATTACATTGCTATATTCGACTTCCGTTTGCTCAAATGGGATAAATTAACCAGCTACTAGATAAGATTAGGTACATATCTGACCATTAAAGTGTAGCAGCGCTTGTAGATTATTATCCAGCTCATTTTGCTGTTTTAATAGCGATTTCATTATTCTTTATTTTGAAACCTAGTAGTCTTCCCCTAGCATTGAATGCTCAATTTGATTTTGACAGTAATCTGGATAACTACAGGTTTTCACTCAGAGCAAATTTTAAAATTTTGTAGTCAAGTTGTGCTAATATGTGGGACTGTTGATTCTTAGCAACCATATTATTTTGACACATTACTACCTTTTGACATTCCATGTTCAGTGTGATCAATGTGAACGAAAATTATGCTTCCTTAAATTGTCAGTATTTAGTAGCCTAGAGACTGGTCATCTTGAGATAATTTCTGATGCAATCTGTTAGTTTTGGAATTGAATATACAGAATGATCACTGTGATATTCTCCCTCAGATCATTCAAATGTGTCACATGGGAATAGTACAAACTTTACTAACCAGAATGAGAATATTAAGATTCAATTTGTTCAAATGTAATAAAATAAGTTAATATTATGATTGTGTTACATCAGGATGACAGGTGGGTCATTATCACACAATCACATTAAACATTTTCTACAAACCTCTATGATTGCAAGTTGATCATTTTAGTTAATTGATACAAAATAACATATAAGTAAGTGATCAGATGACAGAATCGACTGTCATGAACCAGCGATTACTGAAAATAACAAAGTCATCAACTAACTTTCTTTTGATCTTAAACATCATTATGTCATGATTTACTTTACTGTCCCAGTATCCGTCTGTAACATACTGTTATTACTGTTTTGTCATAATTTTTTGGATCATTATCTGCTTCATACTCATTCATTGCTAATGTGTGTGAATTTTTCTTTGGAAGAGTTTGGTTACATTTTGAAAAAAAGTAAGTAAAGAAATCAGAATAAATTAATTGATCTAAAGATATAAATACAATTTAATATAAGAACATAGTTATTGTAATAATCACAAGCGTCCAAACGGTTTATAACCTGTTGTGGTGAACCAGCGGTTCTGTACTCAGATAATGTATCTAAGTTTGTGGGTTCAAATCGGGATCTTAGTTCAACATTGGATTTGGTGCAAACAGCAGACTCTGTCAAAAGGTTCTTAGTACAGGAAGGAATCACATGGAATCTCATTCCTATTCGAGCTCTTTTTTTTTTTTTTAAGGGCTCTGAGAGCATTAGTGAAGTATTCTCTGAAATGTCAATTCAAGAAGCATGAATTATATTTGAAGAAGTGTGCACAGTACTTAGTCAAATTGAGGGTTATCTAAATTCAAGGCCTTCATCCCTGCTTTCATTAAATCCAAAGGATCTCAATCAAGTAACACCACCACACTTCTAAGTCTGTGAACCATTAACTCTAAATCTACAGAAGCACTTCCAAGTAATTGTCGTACTTCCTTAAAGAAACAGAAGCTCGTCCAATGCTTTTGGAAATGTTGGATGGAAGAATACCTTCCTTAACTCAACCAGCATAAGAAATGGAAGCGGCCTAAATGTATACCATTCCGTTTTTAATTCTGAGCCGATGGAAGTAGGAGCGAATAATCTTCATTTCATTCTTCCATGACAAGATGGAATGGTGAAGTTATGTGTCCAATCTTGAAGTTCTGTCTTCAAGGCAACTGATATATTAAGAATGATAAAGGCAATGGGCATATGACATTTTTACATTGCTTTTATTAAGAATAATAAAGACAATGAACATATGACATTTTTACATTGCCTAGATGATGGGATGGCTCTCAGAATATCCAGTTTTGAATGTTCTGGGTTCAATTCCGATCTGGGTCTGTTAATTTTCATTTTTTGGCAGTCCTGGAAAATGAATCTTGACATTCTCACTCTGGTAAGTACGCAGTCGTAACCGCAAGCTAGTCATTAGGTGTTGGTATAAAAGATCATGTGCTCCACTTGCCAGACTGGTTCCCACCACCAGCACTGGTACCAGTACATTGACTAGAAGGTTATACATGTGTGAACTTAATGCATTATATACATTATCTTCAATTATAATGTTCTATTTAGTTTCAGTTAAAAGATAATAGTTGTAAATGTTTATGAGTTTCTTTAATTTTATTATGTATTGTTTATTTTTTTCAAATAATACAACATTTACAGTAAGTGCGATATACTATCTTTTTTTTTTTAATTTAGAAAGTTTCTTAGAAAAACTGCATACTTATATACTTTTCTTCTTCTTCAGCGAATTTCAGATGTTACTACTAGGACATAATCAGCCAGACATAACAACTATGATTTAATTAGCAATTTTTTATTGTCACAAAATATTATTAAATATATTTATTTTTCTATCTTCAGGTTGTCTAGTGGACCTGAAAACCTTTTGTAACCATTGATGATGATTCCAAATCAAAGTAGCGTTCAAATAATTACCAAACTTTTCCAGGTCCACTAGACTTCCTGAAGATATAAAATAAATATATTTGGCAATATTTTGGGACAATTAAAGATTGCTTAGTAAATCACAGTGGCTAAGGCTTAGCAACATCTGTGATGGATGGGTGATGAAAATGACCTCCTCATTAGATTACAAAAAAAAAATGTGGCTGCAGCATATAGAGCTGGATAGTGGAAACTACTAGAGGAGGATAAGACCCATTCCACGCTGTAGTGCCAAAAAGATATATAGATATTTAACTATATATTAAGTACACACATATTTTGTTTATTTTAATTTCCTCTAATTTAACCTAACTTTTATAGATAAATCTGTTTGTGCTATTAGTTTTATTTGTTAATTGGAACGTTTATAGATTAGCAGTCTGTCTGTGTACTTTTGGACTAGTTGTGGTACTGCATATTCCATTCAGAACTCCGCTTTATATAAAGAACCCAAAGCATGTCTGTGTGTTGTTAACTGAATAAAAGTATAAAATCTCTAATTCTCCAAAAGTTTATTGTCTTCAAAATATCTTATGTTTTATTAAAATATAACCTTATCATTTAATTTTTAATTATCAGGCTGGATTTCGACTATATCTTGGAATAACTCCTACTTTGGCAAACTGGAGTGCTTCAGGTGATGAATTCTCTCTTCAATTTGAGGCAAATCCACTGACTGAATTCGTTGAATTACCCGATCACTGTTTAAATCTTAAATATTGTAATATACTTACTGGTGTTCTTCGAGGTGCCCTGGAAATGGTAAGTGCAGTATAAAAATAAAAATTTTGAAAAGCTCGAACTTTAATTTTTACTTTCATTTACCTATATATATAAAATATATAGAAAAGGAAAATGTTGTGATCGTGAAAATTTTTGAATCTCAAGTTTTTAACAGAAATAAAGATTTTGAGATACCCTGTATTCAAATAACCAAGTCCCGGAAAATGGTATGTGTGTTGTAGACTTATTGTTTAATGTTACCCCAAACATAAATATCCAGTTGTGTCAGGTCTGGAGAGCATGCAGGCCAAGCCACTAGTCCTGCACATCCAATCCATTGATTGGGATATGGGATATGATTGAGCAAGTCGAGTCAATGACCTTAATTCCTTACGAAGAAGGTTAGTTGAATCTTGCCAAACCATAACACATATCCAGTGCCTTTCTGCTCATTTATGCTTCTGCTGCTGTTGAACAGTGATACCGAGCCTGTCTTAATACTCACGAAATCATTTTAATTAGCTATCAAATTTAACATTGACTATTAAATTTAATGCTCAAGGAATCGTTTTATCACTTTGAACATCATTTAATATGAATGTTAATGTTTATATTTAATTAATATAGTAGTTGGAACAAATAAATAAATTTTATTTATTTCATATAACATAAATAATTCATAACAACGAAAACCTTTTGGTGTGAATGTCTCCTAAACAAAGCGTTTGCATACATACCTTCAAAGCAAATTTTTTTCAATTAAAATAAAAGTTGTTTATGTTAGAAAATTAATATATCGATTGCTACACTGCAAAAGCCTGTAATAACAAGAACTAAATATTTTCAGGACATGAAGAAAATTGTGCAACTTTTGTTCTATGGGCATTATATTTCAATTTTTTTCTGCAGGCCTAAGACAAAGATGTAATGCTCTATGTAACTTTGTTGACCGTATTTCTGCCAAATAATCTTTTAGAGCCATTACTTCTAACTTATAGATATTTAGTTATTTTGAAAAACAGGTATAAGTTAGTAGGTATATTAGGCGATCACAATGGTTGATTATTGAAAATAATAAACCAAAAAATTAATAACTATTCTTACAGGTCTATTTATAATTGAGTAAGCATTTGCAGCTGAATAATATTGGACTTGTATATTAAAATAAAATATGATATATTGTCCACATAACATCATGGTTTTAAAAAAATAATAAAATTTTCTTTTATTTAGTTAATTTTTAAAATGAAGAGTTTTATTTGTTAATTCTTTTTCATAGGTACAAATGGATGTATCTTCCACATTTGTTCAAGATCATTTAAAAGGTGATAGCTGTACAGAACTTAGGGTAAAATTTATCAAACGGCTTGAGGATGCAATCCCTGCTGGAGAAGATTAGCTTCAAGTTATCAACGATTCTTTGTTCTTATTAATTACAAATATGTAAATATGCTAAGTGATAATATTAATTTATTATATTGTAATGTTGCATTCCAATCAAGGGAAAATATCAGTTTATTAAAAAATAAATGTAAATATTTAAGAACAACAACATAAATGTTACCTTTGTTTAAAAACAACTAAAATAAGGTGAAAATAAAAGAATAATGAAATATTGTAAACTCAATGGCTCATTTATGTAATGTGTTAATTTGTATTAATTTAATACTTTAGTAGTTGACTTTGAAGTCACAGAGATGTAATTGAGATAACATACCGCACGGCAATAATACAAGGGACACAACTCAAATTTTTGTATTTTCTTGGCCATTCCATCCGACCATTGCCATTCCAAAAAGTAGCCAAATCTGAAATATAAAATCAGAAAGCCTGTAGTCCAGGATATATCACAGAATTAATCATGTAATAAGCAGCAGAATGTTTTAACAGTAGGTCTGACATCTCTAATCCCAAAACCCATCCAGAGAGCAAATAGTTTCTAGGTAACTGATTTAATAAAATGTAACAAAATTTTCAAAGTTTTTCAGGAATCTTACAACTTCAAAATTTCTAGAAAATGTGTCAATAATTGCGTGTAAGCATCAGATATAAAAATTGTTCTTATCATATCAGAACACTTTTATTACTTAATAATTGGTAAAATGAAGTAGAGGAAAATGAATAACAACATTGTTTATCCTAAATAAATATTTACCTCCACATTGCTACAATTTTTATCAATATTCTAATCAATTCTAAGTACAACTAAATTGGATCGACCGACGTAATAATGCGGGGATATTCCTTTTCTTTTTTTTTTTAATCAGAAACGAAGTTAGTATTTATTGTTTTATGAGAAAAGAAAGTTTTAGTTGAGAGTATATTTCAGCAATAACAATTCACATTGTTCGTTGAAAAGTTAACAGAAACAGCGTATACTTTCTTCCTCTTCCTCAAATGTATCCTATATTATTGGATACACACAATCAAACTCGAGGCTCACAAATAAGATTTCCTCCAGCTCGAATTAGTAATACTGTACGAATACAAGTCCCTGATGTCGATGGTGGTGTGTTAGTTGTCTGTAAGTTGTAATTGTCAGTAATTTATAGAAGACTCCGACTTCTATAAACTGGCAAATAAAAATGTTACCCTCAAGCAGCTGAACACACGTAATTTGTGTGTAACATATAACATGTAAAAAAATAACTTACTTTCCATAGATGAGATTTCGTTTTAAGAAAGATAGAAGCAGCTGCAGCTGCTGTCATTGCAAAAGGAAGTGTTCCACAAATAAATGCAGTTGTAAAAGGAAGGGACTCTTGTGCAATTCGGAGTGTCATAATATTTTAAGTTGTTACAATAAATTTCATTTGGATCACATAATTAAGTTTTTTTTATTAATATTATTTTATTTTCTCATTTAGAATGTACTGTGTGCTTTAAATTCTTGGTCATCCCTCTCAGAAAGAGAGGCGAAAAAGTTACGTTCTATAGAGACTGAATTACAGAGAATAAAATATAATAATCCGACATGTTTAACATTCACCATTAGGGCATGGTGAATGTCGACATTTACCGGTGTAAGTAAGAAATTAGGGTATTTAGCAAATATTTCTGACATACACCAAGCAACTATGTGAATGTTGACATTCACCGGTGAAAGTCTACATTCTCCAGATTTCGGTCATTCACGGTAACATATATGTATATATATGCAAAAGTAAATATAATATAAAATGGCATAAAAACCTTTTAAAGCATCGTCTGAAGAACATTTGCAACATACACATTTTAATTCGTGATCATGAATAATAATCTATCGCATCCCCATTTCGACTACACCAATTTTATTATTCCATAATTCTGGAGTATTATAGTTATACAGATTAAAAGGACTTTTCTAGATTCATATATTTGTTCTAAATCCGTTCAGACAACATATATATATATTCTTAGTCAACTTTTATTTAAATCGAATTTTCTTTTAAATAACTTTAATATTTGTTCCAAATACGTGGCACCCCATTGTAAACCGAAAGCATCATTTAGGGAACGAAATTCGATAAAAGACAAACGATAAGAGATAGGTAACAGTTGATTGATTTTTATAGCTCTGTTTGTGCGAGAGGGGTGGAGTGGCCAAGCGGGCTAACTGTGTCTGTTATCCCTTATCGTTTGTCTTTTACTGAATTTTGTCCCCAAAAAGATGCTTTTGGTCCATTGTGGGGCGCCACGGATTTGGGACAAATATAAAAGTCAATTAAAAGTGAATCCAATTTAAATAAGAGTTAACTAAGAATATGTATATGTTGTCTGAACGGGTTTAGAATATATATATGCATCTAAAAAAGTCCTTTAATCTATAATAATAAAAAAGTAAGTGTTGGTTTGTTCAAAACGTTTCTATCGGATTCAGGAGTGTTTTTATATACATTTAATTACCCTCCGGCCTTTCGTTTCGGAAAGGTGGCCGAAAAACCTGTGCCGCTATAGACTGTAGTGCCTAAAGGGCTGTAACAATTTTAATTAAACTTGGATAAAGTCTTCTCCTTGAAGTCCTTTTAATTTATATCTATACCATCCTTCCCCGAAAAGAGTATGAAAAAAAAAAGTTAGGATGGGCTCAAAACTATAGTTGCAAATAACTCAAAAAGTACTTAATTTTTGGTTCTCACATAGACAATTATATGTTGCGTATTCTATAGATGTAAAACAAGATAATCTCTATATCTATACAAAGAATGAAACAACAAAAATTGTCGCATATCCAGAAGTATTATTAAATAAAATATTTAACTCATATTGTAACATCCCTCTTATATTTTACAAATAATAATAATATAACCTCAGAAGCTCACTTCTTACCATTGAGATACTTCCTAAATAAATAAGAGGTTGTTTAATAATAAAAAAAGTTATAAGAGAATTAATATATTTATTTATCTCAGGTATGGGTTACTGATAATCAGATCAACTCAGACAAACTATTATTATTTACACTAAAATTAAACACTTATTTTAAAATAAAGTCAATTATGGATTGGCAAGCTAATCTTTTTTCTCTATACACTGATTCTTCCTTTGTTGCACTAAATTCATTTTCTTATGTTCTGCCAAACACATCTTCCAAAAGGGTGACACTATCTTCTATTCTTAGATGATAATACTATTACTGGGGTTTTCCCACTGGAGCCAGGATCACTTCTCCTATCCTCTCTTCACTGCAGTCACACAACAACTGCTTACCAAAAGCAAAAACCTTTGTCCCTCTCCTCTTTGGGGTTTTCCTTCTTGGGAAACTACAGAGCACCCATTTTCTTTTCCTTGCCCTAGTAAAACTAGATTAGCTTGCCTTTTAATTGTTCAACATTAATTTATTAAATCATTTTTACCCACTTCCAATAAAGGTGTACATTACAATATATTAGAAATGTCTGCTTACTTTTTTATATATTTCTCTATTCAAGCAGACTGAGCCACAGCAACACATGGCCGGTCTATAATGGTACAGATAGTCTATAATAAATAAATTATGTCACACTACTGTAGCCTATTATAAATAATAATAATGTGCTCTATTTATTCTTTTGGAATAATATAATTGTGAGCTTTAGACCCTCAGAGTTTTATAAAACGATTAATAAAATAAACAAAAAGAAATATTTAAAAATAATAAGTTAACTTTTAACATTAATGAATTGAAAATAAAATAAAATACAAACTAATAGTTTCTATACATAATAATAGAAAAAGCTGCTTATTTGGTTTATTGTTTGGAAACTAGATGGATAGGAAGTGATTAAATGGTTAGTATTTAAATATGGATAGGGTATTGAAATGATGGATGTAGAAGGGGATGGAATTTCATAGAGACCAGGATCAAATAATTACTGATCTGTCCAATTTACAAACAAAGAGGAGTTGAAGGCAGAAAGGATATCAGGATTGAGAATGAAATCGACATCCGTTTCTTTTTAAAAGTATATCATTGAGGAGTAGGGGATTATAGTATTTATGAGATCATTAAGGACTATGTTTAATAGGCCAAAGGATTGACCATGGTTAGGCCTGCAATTTGATTGTAGTACTGACCACCGAAAGTATGATAGCCTGATCTAGAACAGAGTTGCAGTGATTCAAAGAATGAAAAAGGGTTGAGTGGGGGTATGGATTCTATTGATGACAATTTTCTTTAACTATGAGAAGTGCTTTGTCTACAGCAATGTTGGTGAACAGGCTTTCAACGTTGAAGGAGGTGAGAATGAAGTGATCAGGAAAAGGTAATGATAGTAACAGATCGCTTAGATTAAATAAGTTATCGATATCATATAGGTTATCGTAATTAAGGCTTTGTAAGAATTTTTTAAGTTTACAAAGGTAGATTTCATGTTGGACGTTATATGGCGGAGAGGTTGCCAGGTTTGTTGATTTTGAGAAGTCCATAAAAACGAGGAGACCTAAAAGAAAGATCTTTGAAAAATTAACTCAATTAATGATCAACATTTAGAAATGGAACAGCATATAACTAGCATAGAGCGTTCTTCTTTCTTTCGTATTGAAATCCGAAAAAATCTCAAATAAGGGGTGTATAATGCTATGATCAAGCCAGCTCTCAGTTAGGGCAAAACCTGAACACTAACGCCACAAAGAAGTGTTGAAAGATTTGAAAGAAAAATCCTCTGCAGGATAACCACATCTGGGATCAGATTATTAACCTATGGAGAAAAAACAATAGATAACTGGTTACAGAAACTGGTCAATCAATATCTCAAGTGAGAGGAGGTTAAGATGGGCGGGGTATGTAACTCCCAGCAATCCATCAGGAAGTCCCTGACAGAACAGTGAATGCCTCAATATTAGGCAAGAGCACTGGAATGAAAAAAAACTAAGTATCGACCGATATCGAAAATTTTGGCCGATAACGATATTTCAAAGTCCGATAAATCGGTATTTTTTTCCTTTTCGTCAAGATTGGTAATCACAAGAAATATCCTACTGATTGTTATATAGAAGAATAAATACATCGTTTACGCATTGGTCTATCCACATATTTTGACTAATAAAAGAGTGATATTGTAAGCATATCGGCGTTACTAATAAAAAAAACAAAAATCACGTCCTAACTACAAAATAAAGCCGTAGGGACGATATATCGGTCCAAGGGGGAGGACAAATAAAAGTTAAGAAGAGCCGCACTTAAGATTCCCTTTAAAAAAAAATTTTAGATTCTCTGGCGATTGATCAGGGGTGCACAGAAAGGAGTTTCGTTGCACAAGTTGTGCCATAAAAATTTTTGAGAGGGGCATATTTTGACGGATTTTTGAGGGGAACAAATTTCGACAGGGTTATGAATTTTCGGACTAGGGGACAAGAGGAAGCATGGAACAGGCCGCACTAAGGGAAATTGTATACGATCTACGATTTTTTTAATTATAGCTTAACTTGCTGTTTCTAAGAATAGCAAGCAATAAAATATCTTGGGAGGAGGAGAGGAGGTAGGTTCTTGCGGCATGGACTCCCTTGCGATTAGTTAACACTTTTATTAGCAATAAAAACAATATTCCAAGTTTGAACCTCGATAAAATATAGTTATAAGGCAGATACATCACTATCTGCTCAAATGAGGGGAAGGGAAGAACAAAATAAATATTTTAAAAAATTGTTACAGCTTCAGATTTCGATAAAAAGAAGTCATCAGGCCGATATATGTCTTAAGAATATCGTTATCTGCTCAAATTTATGTAAATTTCCTGATTCATTTATTAGCGATATAAATAATATTCCAAATGAAACTCAATGAATCATGATAAAAAAGGGTCGATATATCGGTCCAATAGGACAAATTAAATTTGTATGAAAATGAGTACATAAAAAAAGATGCTTAAATGAAATAAGGATAGAGGCCGATGTATCAGTCTTTGGAATATCGGTATCTACTCAAAAATAATAATAAATAAATTTAACAAAAATCAAACTTCTCAATAAAATAAGGTGCATCTATCGGTCTTTTCTCAAATTTATATTTATGTCCATGCCTTGATTACCACACTTATTAGCATCCCCATCTCCACATATGTTATTAGTAAGGCTCATAATCGGTTTTGTACCAAGTATAAGCTCCTGCACTAGCCGATCCAGAATTTAATTTTGGGGGGGGGCTTCAGCCCGAAACCTTTTTTTTTCATAAAAATAACGATAATTACTTTAGAAAAACAGAAAGAAACTAACTACCTATATGAAATGGTGTTTAAGTGATTCCTTAAGTGATTTTAAATGTAATTACACGAACAATAATACTTTAAGAGGTATTTTAAAAAAAAAAATTCCCATAAAACATGGTTATATTTTTCAATTTTGGGGGGGGGGCTTCAGCCCGAAAGCCCCCCCCCCGTAGATCCGCCCGTGAGCTCCTGTCATGTTCAAATACCATGAATGGGGTACTGTTGGATTCAGAATTCACTTGGGGTTAGCGAATCGTATTCTCCACTTTTGTTTTCCTTTCTAAAATAAATAAAGTCGATACAAACATTTTGCTAGACTTCAATACTAGAACGATGGTAGGTCTGTAGATCGATACGGGACCTTGAAGATTTTGATGCGTACAGCAAGACCCGGATAGTTCCTCCATAATAGGATCCTTTGTTTTTAAGCCCCAAAACCTACTATTTTCGAGATAACGCAAGGCTTAGGGTTCGCATCTACACAACCTTACGTTGTTAATTGCAGTACTGCCATGGAATACATGTTTCATTTCGTCGACTTGAAGCCTCTATGATCGAGAGAGGAGTTTATATTATTTATCGATGGTGTTTTTGATCGGCAAGCCATATCATCGTTAATTATTCACCAAATCTCAAGATTGAGCAACCAATTTCGAAGGCTTCCTTCTCCTTCAGGCGGGCAAAATAGTCCAATCATCCAGAAAATTCAGGCAAACATATTATGAAAGAAAATAAACTTTATTTGCGAATAACTAAAAAATTACACACTTTTCTCTTGGTTATGCCCATTATTATATAAAAATTACTAAATCCCAGCAAAAGGAAAAAAAAAATCATGGAAATCAGACAATTTTTAGCAAAGATGAACCTTATTGAAATTTATAAACATGTTGGTTCCAAACATTAATGAAGTTTTAAATTAATTTTTGTTTCCTTTGTCGATTGTATTTATCGATGAATTAACAATTGATTTCTTTTTCTGTTGATACTTGCATTATTTTATTTTATTATTAATTTGGCATTTGATCACTTAACAATATGCTGTGCGAATTTTTCGCACAGGCCTACTGGTTAAAAATAATATCCCAATTTAAAGTTCATTAATCTTGATATATTGGTCATTAGAATATTGGTATCTGCCCAGATTCAGAGATAGAGAGAAGCAATAAAAAAAAAAAAATTAAAAAATAGTGGCTACAAAAACCAGCTGGATAGATCAAATCAACAAAGACACAATAGATAACTGTAAAGAAATTAAACCAATTTAGAAAGAAATAGAAAAGGTGGGAAAAAAAATCTAGCTAGGTCTTATGGCAAAAGAAAAAAAAAGTAGTTTTCATTTTTTATTTTTAACTGTTTTAAGTAATAAAATGAGCATCTCCATTTATAACATCATTATGTTTAATTAAAAATATAAATTAATTTAAATTACAATAATTACATAAAGTAAAAACTCTTTACACATTCTTAATGTAAGTGTTTACATATATTTACAAGAAGCCAAGTGTGCCTTCCAACCCAATTCTTATGTTAATATATTGTTTTCTGAACAATATTTCTTAAATTCTTTTTCCCACCTTCCAGTAAAAAGTAAGTAGCACTGTTTAAATATGCTCTTAAATTCATCATCTGTTTCAGGGAAAAGAATTCTTAAGTAATTAACAGTTTCTTTGAAATCTTCTTCTGAGCTGAAATTTTTAATCAATCCCATAAGTCGTGAATAACTACTAGGTTCTAGAGTCGATTTTAATTCTATAAGAAAATTTTTCGTATCGTTTAACCTTTTTTCTTTTTCTCTCGAAAGATGGTCAGAACCAGGAAGGTGAATGTCATCAATTTTAATGAATTTCAGTTTAATTTTACGTCGCTTAGCTGGTGCATTTAAATTTTCTTCTGCTAAATCAATGTCCTCAAACAGTTGCTTACTTGAGGATGGCTTATTACATGACAAAGACTTTCCTACTGCTCCTTCCATCTTCATGCTTAGCAAATGTAATCTTTTGATTAGAGATTCAACCTCCTTAGTTTTAGTCTTATCTAATTCAAGGTTTTGAAATGTCTTGGGAAGGAAATCAGCTGAAGGTTCTGGTACATCAAAGATATAAGATGGAGTGGATTCTAATTTAAATTTTTCTGTGTAAGACAAACATTGTTTCTCGAAAATCCCTATTACCCAATCTAATACATTCAGTAAATTTTCATTCTTAAGCATATCATGAAGAAACTGGATAGAAATACTTGACTCCATAATGTTTGGGTATAATTCATCTTTAGCTAAAATTTCTAGACAAGATTTTGGTTGCTTAGTTGCATTTAACTGAGGAGATATATTTTCATAATGATCAAGGAGATTAGATACTATCCTCAACCGGCTTTCTAGTGAAGTTTTTGTTTTAATTTTAGAAAGTAAAACACAGCTCTCACTATTGTTACCTATGGATTTGAAGTTAGTACCACCAATTGTAGATGTGCAAGGTGATAGAATTTCTGAATGATTAATTTCAGATCTCCTCAATCCACTTGATGAAGAATGGTCAAAAGAAGGAGTGCAAACCATCTTATTTTGAGCAATGTTAAATTTCGATGCAGCTGAACTTTGATTTTTCCTAAAGAAACCTCTCAAGACTCCAATTGATTCTCCAAATGATCGGGGCTTTATAATTCTTTGTTGAACCCATTTTGATAAATTTTGGATAATATTCTGATTGTTAAATTGTGCATCACATAATATTATAGCTCCGTAATCTTCTGAATGTCTAATAACTCTACCTATTGCTTGATTGACTGCTCTGGTAGCTTCAAGAACATACCAGACATCACCAGTTAAATCTGTGTTGTTTTTTCTATTTTGATCGATATACTGCTTTTTTAATTTTACTTTAGGATCATGAAGTGGTGGATAAGGAAGACCAGCAATTATCACAGCACGTCCATATTGATCACTAAAATCGAGACCTTCTGATATTTTTCCTCGACAAACACCTATGAATACAGCTCCTTTTCCATTTCCAGTTTCAATGGCCTTATAATATTCCTGGCTGACCTGTTGTAATTCAGATTTGAGTTTTGGTTCTATAAATATTGGCTTCAAATGTCCCAATTTTTCCCATAAACCACTTTCTCTCCACATTTCCACTGCAATATTCAGTGTTGTATAACTGGGAAAAAATAGTAGAACACCATCTGGTATGATTCGAAAAAAATTCTGTAACGTTAAGCCCAATTCCTGCCAATACCCAATATTTTGTCTATTGGCATAGTTACATTTAAGTTGTATATTGCGTGGACCTACTTCAACTTGGCAAACAAATACTTGGTCTTTACTGACAATATGTGTACACTCTGCAATGACTGGAGAAGTTAAAGACATTTCTTTGACAAAACTAGCAATAGGGGCCAGAGTACCACTTGTCAAAATCAGACTGTGAATTGTGTTTATCATTACATTGTTCAAGCTAAATCCTGGATTAAAGCACCAGTAATTAACAACCTTACCTCCTTTGCTATCTTTTGTATTGAAGCCTCCACCAAATGAATTTCTTACTACTTCCACCTCGATAAATACTCTAAAGTCTTTTTCAGGCATATGAAAATTACTCACTTCAACAGTTGAATTTATAACTGTTAAATCATCTGCTAATTTTTTAAGAGCACCACCTCTACGATTATTCGAATCTGAAATATTGGAAACAAACTCATAGATCTGGGAACAAACTCTGATTAACTCTTGTGATGTATTAACATCGATTCCTGCTTTCTGCAGGAGTTCAAATATATAAGAACCATTTTGTGTAATAGTTACATCTTTAGAAACTTTCAGATCATTAATTACTGATTCAAGGGAAACTAGTTTTTCTTTTACAAAACATAATTCTTCACTTGTATAATCCCTTTCCACCGCTAAAAAGCCACTTTCAATATCATCATACATCACTTGCATTTCTTTGGTGACATCACTAATAGCTAAAGCAATATCAGAACTTTTAATAGAAACAGAGCAAGCTTCTTCACATACTTTATCTATATTGTGAGCTTCATCTAATATAATAACACTATTAACTAAAGAAATTTTCAATGCTTTTCTTATGTGGTAGTCAAACAAGTAATTGTATGGCATAAAAATTACATCAGCTTTTTCTTGTAATTCTCGAGCCATGTAATATGGACAACAACCCTTTTTTGTTGACTTTGAAATCAAGTCTTCTATATCCGTAATCCCTTCAGTAAAACTACTATCATATTTTACTTTCTCAACATTATTACCAAAATGACAAGTTTTATTTTTCATATGCATGCTGCACAATGCATTTTTCAAAGACAAGTTAGTTTCATTCTTTACTTGAGGATGTATGCACATTTGATCTCTTGAACCCAAAATGGTAACTTTAAAGGTCTTAAAAGCAGTTTTTTGTAATTCTAACATGGCCTTACTTAATTGTGAATGAGTTCGGGAAGAATAAATAACCCTAGGAAATAAATATTTTGGAATTACATTAGAAAATAGATCAGCTTCATCTTTATTACCTTCAACAGGTAAATCGGTTGAAGATGGAAGGGGAAGATTTTTTTGAGATCGAAGCCAACTAAGAGTTGAACAGAGTAAACTTAATGTTTTACCGGTCCCAGTAGGACTCTCAAGAACACCAAACTTTTTATCTTGTAAACATTCAATGACTTTTGTCATGTACTTAATTTGTTCTTCATAAGGAACAAAGGGAAAGTCCACTTCAATTCCATCTATGCTAACTTTTGACATTTCAATAAATTAATCATACAGTTCTTAAAAATATAAAATCAAAAATAATTTTAAAGTTGTGCAGTGATTGTTTTATATACAAGGCGTTTATACAACAGTCTTTAAAAGGAAATCAATTATTCCAAAAGCAACATTGATACTCCAATAAAAACATGATTGCCTTGGGAAACAGATGGTGGCTATCTGATATATTATTATACACATATAAATGTCCAACTTGTCATTATTCACTAACTCAAATTGATATTCACACTTGAAACCTTAACTAAACTCTTAGAAATTTTAAAGTTGATTAGCTTTTAGAGCGTAATCCATACCAACGAGGTTCTAAGCAGAGATAAATAAAAAAATAACGCTATTATAAAAACATTCTATCAACATTAGTGAAAAAAAATTTAAGTTATCAGGATAACTTATTAATTAGGCAGACCTTATTATAAAGTATATAAATAAGGCTTGTTTTTGTGATATAAATTTTATCAACAAAGCCTCATTTGTCTTCCGAAGTGATTTCCTGATATCACAACCCCATTATTATTTAATATTTATTATCTCCATTTTATACTATATCCATATACCTTATTTTCAACATCTTTCAATTACTCATTTATCTAATAACCCATAGAATTTATCTATAATAAATCCATCATCCATTATATACAGTGATGGAAAAAAGTATTTGCACAACACGTTTTTATGAATAAAGTAGTTCAAGGAAACAAAAAACTTCGCTTTCCTTTGCAAAAATGAAAAGTAAATTTATTAAAAACTGAAAAAACCTTTTTACAAAAAAATAAAAACACTTCATAATCAAACAAAATAATTAAAACAATAAAAGGGCTTGGAAAAAAGTATTTGCACACTTCCACATTTACAAGTTTATTTTAAATTTTAATATTCTGTAAATAGGCCATTTGCGTCAATAATTGCTTGTAGACGTCTGGGTATTGAATGCACTAGGTTTTAAATTAAATCTACGTTTACTTGTTCCCATTCTTGAACAAGAAGTTGTTTAAGGTGATGTCCACTAGTGATATGGTGTTTTCTTACATTTTGGTCAAGGGTGTGCCATAAATTTTCAATGATATTTATATCTGGTGACTGAGGAGGAGTGTGGAGCTATCTTGGAACATTAAATATTAACGACTCCTTTGTTCTCCTCGCAGTATGTTTTAGATCGTTGTCCTGCTGGAAATAGTATTGATCCTGGATTCCCCCCTTTTTCGGCACTAACACGCAAATTACGTCTCAAAATGTTCACATAACCTTTCGCATTTAAAATGCCTTCGATGCTCACAAGAATTCCCACGCCAGTGTAGGAAACACACCCCCGAACTATAAAATGTCCTCCACTATGCTTTACAGTTGTTAAAACATTTTGCTTCTTTAGCGCTTCATTACGATGTCGCCATATCGTCCTTCGACCATCTGAACCAAACAAATTAAATTTGCTTCAAGCCTCAGGAAAGATGACATTTTCCCAAAAGCTTAAGTGTTTCTGTACGTACTCCCTAGCAAAAGCAAGGCGCTTTTTGCGATTCGTTTCACTGATGTTTGGCTTCATTCTTGGAACTCTACCATGGAGCCCTTCCGAATTCAGTGCATATCTAATTGTTCTGCTAGTAATCTGAACTCCAGACGTTGATTGGCCCATGGTAGCCAGCTCCCGAGAACTTATCAGAGGATTTTTAAGAGCTTCTTTTCTGATTTTCCTCTTCAGTCTGGGAGTTAACTTTTTTGGACGCCCTTTACGCTCACTGTTTTCAGTTGAACCACGTTCTTCATACCTTTTTATGACGTATCTCACTGTACAAAAATTCAACCCTATGAAATCGGCAATTTGGCGATATGTTTTTTTCTGACTCCTCAGTAGAACCATTTTTTCGCGAGTTGCGGCACACAGTTCACTTGTCTTTGGCATGATAATTGTCTATTGACTAAAGGAAACTGATTGAAAGACTAGAGAATACTGGTAATAAACGATTAGAGATAAATTAGTATTAATTTAATTAGTATTAATTGTAAACTTATGACCTATGGATACAGGAGGATTAATGCCAAAGTAAACAGAGCACTTTTATTGTTTTAAATTTTTTGTTTCGTCATAGAGTGTTGTCACATTTTTCCAAAAGGTTTTTCTCAGTTTTTAACAAATGTACTTTTCATTTTTGCAGAGGAAAGCGAAGATTTTTGGTTCCTTGAACTCATTTATTCATAAAAACATGATGTGCAAATACTTTTTTCCATCACTGTATGTCTCTGTGCTTTAGTTCACGTATTTCAGTTAACCTACACAGATGGCGCTATGTAAGCTCTATTCTTTCATACCATAATACGTTTGACTTGTGACACCCCTTCGTTTGACCTGGTCTGATTATCTTTCTTATCTTAGTTTTCTTCTCTTTTCCTTTTTCCCGTCACTCTCTTTTCCATATCTCCAACTCTATTTTGTGTATATTGATACATTTTTCTTTTGGTTTATTATTTTCAATGATCGAACAAAAATTTAAAAACTTAACCCCCCCCCCTCAAAATTTGAGGTTTTACGTTTCAGGATACGTAGAATTCGAAAAACGAATGCAAATTTTTTTGTCCATCCGCCGTCTACTGGACTACTGGACCGTATTTTAAGACTCCAGCATCCAAATAACAACAGATCTCGCCATATAATTATAGATTTCTAATTGTATTTAATTGATGAGTATTACATTGTTTGAGCTATCAGCTTAAATTTATTTAGTGTGACCTGGTTTAAAAGGAAAAAACAATTTATCTTTATTTTGGTTCATATACGTGCATATTGGTGCAGAATATTGCAACTCATAACTTTACTTATTAAAATTGTTATACTATTATATTCAAATTGTTGAATTTACGTACGTTTGAATAATTTTATTCAAATTTGTTATATGTATTTGATTGTTGAGATATTTTTCATATATTTGTTACTGTTAAGTGTGTGCATGTTTTTATTATCTACTTCATGTTGTTGATTTTTTATATATTTACTAACTTCATCCTTGTGCATTTATTGTTACACGGATTTATTAACTTGTATATATTTCATTCTTTCAAATATATATAAATATTTATCTTTATTAATTTATAGGCATAGATATTTATTTAACAGATTATGTTTAGTTATCCGATAATTTGTTGTATTTTACATTCGCATCTAAAATCTTTAAATTTTTTTTCTCAAATCTTTCTTATAGAAATTTAAACAAGTTTCCAAGTATTCCACAACATGTTTAAAATTTTACGACTTTGTTAAATATACTTAGTAATCATCTCCTCAAATTATAAATTCATTCTGAACAATGGGTGGCGGTAACGAATTGTTTGTCCGAGCTGCAAATATGGGCGGCGGGAACTTCTTCGAATACGAAGTAATGTTTGAGGAGTCAAAGTTAATGTGGGACAAGTTTGAAAACATATGGGAGGAATCAGATGCGCTCTACACGTCACAGAGTGCTTTGACCTATCCACCTGACTGAGAAAAGGCTATGACACCATTTAGAGAGAAGTACGGAAAATAGAGGCGGGATATCGGAGGTTAATTACGCTCTCATCGCACCGCGGTTGATAATAACGCCAAGTCTGGCTCAACACCCTCGAATTATCCGCATCAACTTCCGATCATAGAGGTGCTGGTTTTGAACGGAGATTTGTCGAAGAGGAGTCGGATTAGGGACACCTACGTGTCCCTGATCCACGACAACACCCACTTAACTCCGATAAATAAAATGCATTACTTGAAAAATGCGTTTATCGGCGAACCAGCGTCGCTTCTATCGGCGTTTTCATTAGATTCCGGCTCATACCAGCTGGCCTGAGACACTCTCATGCGAGAGTATGATAACCCACGAGGTTCCGCGTTGTATTGCCTCCCGAGCGGTTTAAATCATAGGGCCCCCAATTCTGGAAGCGTATATTTGAAGCATTTCTCGTACCTTGCTGCTGTGGGGGAGATCATCGACAGCTTCCGCGCGGTGGCTCTGGAAAACTAAGGAGAAATAATAATGTCCACCTGGGCACTAGGCGCGTTTTGCCCAACCAGACTCTCACGAGAACGGCGAGTTCTCTACCTCGGATGAGATCATCACTTTTGTGAAGCATAGCATGAAGTCCGAATTTGAAACGGTACCTTCTGACGAATCGCGCGTCCAGGCTACGAACAAGAGAAGAACCGGAGTAACATTGCTTGCCGGCAAGACGAATGTTCGTCCTACTTCCTTCAAGCATTCGTCATCACCTAAACTGACGGCTTCTGACAGGGATCTGAAGAGTGGGTCCTGACGCCGACGATCACTGGAGGAGGTTTCGCGGAGTAAATCCGTCTCGCCCAATAAGGATCCGTGTCTTCACTGCAGGGGGAAACATCATTTGGCGCGGCCTTTCAAATTTCTTGCGCTGACAATCGAAAAATGCTACGAATTCGTGCGGTCAAACAGACTCTGCTATAACTGTCTTAAATCTGGCCATCGAAGTTCGGAATGCTTTTCCGCATTTACATGCAAATTTTGTGGCGAAAAGCACTGTAGCGTGCTAAATAAGAAAAATCGTTCCGGTTTGAACACCAAATTAACTCCCGCGGAGACGGGCGTTTTCGTCGGCCACGCTCGCTTCGTGTGACTTCTCTTCTGAGGCACTAATGGGCACGGCACAAACGGTGCTGTCTGAATGGAAACGTGATGCCTCGGCGCTTCTGTTTCTGGACTCTGGCAGCCAGTACATGTTCGTCACCGCTCAGCTTGCAGCTCGTATTGGCAGCCCGATGCATCCTTTTGACGGCACCGATTTTGGGTTTGGGTGGCCGTTCTGTCGGAAACATTAAAGGGTATATTACGTGTAGACTCATCACGACCTTCGATAACCGTACGAATTTCAAGGTGCACGCTTTGGTGATGGACCGGATCACATCCGATATACCAAAGCATCCCTTGGCTGCTGGTTTGTTTCGTGAACTGTCAACCCATGTTTTGGCTGACCCGTCCTTAGGAGTCCCAGGTCCTATCGACATGTTGGTAGGTGCTGATCTATATCCTCGGCTTCTTGCTGGTGCTCTCACCAAGGTCTCCGTGAATAATAATCTCTATCTCCTACCAACTCTCCTCGGGAACGTCGTCATGGGGAATATCCCGACCAATTGTTCATCACGGTTCGTATCCCTCTTAACCTGCGCTGAGTAGCCAGTATCGGTGCAGCTGAGACCATTTTGGAAGCCGGAGAATCTAGGTCCTGCTAGCCGCGGACTTCCGCTAAAGAAAAACCGCTGTAAAGTTTTTCGCATACGCGATGGCGGACGGTTTCGGTCATCATCCCGTAATAGGTCCGAAGATGATTCTTGTCTCTACCTTCCGATCGCCGCTCCTAGTTTACCTTCACTTAAAAGCAAGTTTAGCCGGAAGCCGCGACTTGAACTCATGCGTGACGCTTTCACGCCGGAACGTCAACGACCGACAAATAACTTCTTCTCGAACTCCCATGCCAATTACATAAATCAATATGGCGCATGCAATTTGAACCGCAAAGGAGGCTCAACGACATTATCATGTCTGCCACTTAGCTAGATTCACCTACATTCACCACAGACACACACAGACATTCACCTACAGGGTGAATGCATCATATTCAGTGAAACGCTATCGGCCAAATCAAGCGGGTTTCCGACACCATATTTCGCAAATTGTTCAATTCCGTTCGGTCTTATTCGTTGCTTACCGAAACTCTCCTCTCGGAGAATTGATGCTTACCAAATTTCTATCCGTATGTATAGATTATTTCGCGATCCTCGTTTTCGTTCCATCAATACCTTTACTAATTTTTGCCGTTTCCGATCCCACATTTCGCGGATTTCCGATTCCGTGTGGTCTCATCCACCTTTCACCGTGGTTCTCCTCCTGGAGAATTTGTGACTGACGTATCGGTGGGATTATGAGGTACACGTTTCCCCTCACAATGCGGCTCTACTTTTATCAATTTTCCTCGGCTCATCTTGCTAGGTGACAAGGTTTACCGCGGCGGCGATTTTGTGAGCCGATTCATAATTACCCGGACGAATTGGCCATTGTTCAATTTAATTAACATTTTCACAATGCATATGTATATAGAAATTTATTTAATTGTGTCCATATTTATTTATTCATAAAGTTTTATATTGTATTTTATATAATATTTATCATATGCATAAGCACATATTTGATTATTTATTCTTGTACATATTGCTTATTATTTTATCTTGTAAATTTGTATGCTAGAGGCAGTTTCGCTCTCTCATTTTCTTATCCATAGAGCTGATTCCCCGCCTCTCATCACTTCGTTTTTTTGCATTTTGTCTTTGCTTTTGTTATTGTTAAATCTGGCTGCTCCAAATTTAGGTGGGATTGTCTTTTTTGATTAATGTATGTTGGATTTACATCCAGAAATAGTATATATATTTATTATTTACAATTATATTATTTGCCTTGTGTAAGTAACATGAAGAGCCCCCTCCCCCCAGTCTCATCCTGTCCTGTCTGTACTGTGATGAAGAAAAGACCATCTTTATTTATTCAAAACTCTACCTTGCCTGTTAAGCAGTAGAAGTCTTTGCTGTAGTAGATAGCTACACAAGCATGCATAATTATGCACTACTGCAATTAAAACAACTAGTTGTGAAGGAACAGCAAAGCAATGTCAAAATAATTAGATCTTATGTATTATGTAAGACAAGAATTAATTGTTTTCCTTGATCGATTAAAATATTTCATTTAACACTATAGACCAAAATATTTATACAAATTACTTTTCTGGGGCTGTTTTTAAATGTTGAATATTACCTTTCATATTCAAAATAATGCCTCGATCATGAGAGTTTTTAATTATAAAAAAACATAAAATCAACCAATAAAAAAAAATACTTCTAAAAATAATAAAGTCTATCAGCCAGAAAAAACAGCACTAGAATAGTAAATGCAGTATGTTCGAAGAGGAAGAAATTATTATGAATAACAAATCTAAGACTGTATCATTGTTATTAATGGACCTTTTTTTACGATTATTTTTTTTTAGTTTTGAAGGGAATTCAGTAAATTTTCAAATAATCATAGGTATAAGAAAAAAATGTATACTTTTTAAGTTATTCGCAAATAAAGTTTCTATTAATTCATAACTTTTTTCCTGAAATTTCGTGTGGATGTTACTATGATTCGTCACTACTCCATTTAATACCCTTTCATTTGATACCTCATTCATCAAAATCCAAAGCTGGAAGTTTTTCGATATAGCGAAAAACTATCGTATTATAAATTTAGATTATATATTTCTCTTCAGAGGGAGAGGGGAGCATTGCCCCTCCAATGTTGAGAGGTTGAGAAATTCATGTTTTATTTGGATATTTTCAAGTATACCCATCAAGGAACACAAAATAGCCATTGTTAGAGAGCACATTCAACATACAACTTCTTTTAATTCTAGATACAATTTATTTTATTTATAAATTTAAATTTGAATCTGTTTCAAGGATATTCTTTGTTTTTATTTTCTAGCTTTAATTCTTTTAATTCTCGAGATGTAGAATATGCGTCGGTTCTGACGACTCCGAAGAGTTTAAAGTGAGCAGTGGGGTTAGGCAAGGGGATGTCCTCGCCTGTCTATTGTTCAACTTGGCAGAGGAGAAAGCTGTAAGAGACTACGGTATTCAGACCAACGATATAATCTTCAATCGCCTGACACAGCTTCTTGGTTTTGCTGATGATATTGACATAATAGGTAGGTCTGAACGGGCTCTCAGAGAAGCGTTTATAGGCCTTGAAGCAGCTGCAAGACCACTTGGTCTAGAAGTCAACGAGAGGAAAACTAAGTATATGAGAGATGGTGGTAAGGTGGATCTGAACTCTCCATTTGAGGTAGGTTCTTTTAAGTTTGAGAGAGTGAAAAGTTTTATATACCTTGGGTCTGAAATTAATAGCAAAAATGACATGGCTCAAGAAATACAAAGAAGGATCACGGCTACCAATAGATGTGTCTTTGGACTTGGCCGACACTTAAGAAGTAGGTACCTCTCAAAGAAGACCAAGCTGATCATATACAAGACCCTTGTTCGGCCTGTTTTGACATATGGCTCAGAGGCTTGGACGATGACTAAAAACGATGAGATGAAGCTGAGTGTGTTTGAGCGAGGAGTCCTCAGAAGGATTTATGGTCCAGTAAAGGAGGGTGATGTCTGGAGGAAAAGAAAAAATAGGGAGCTCAGTTCTCTCTATACGGACATCGACGTAGTCACGTATATTAAACTGGCCAGACTAAGGTGGGCTGGGCATGTGGCCAGAATAAGCACCGTTGAAATACCAAAGAAAATAATGATGGAGAAGCTGCACCTCGTAAGACGGGTAGGAAGACCGAGGACGAGATGGTTGGACAACGTGGCCTATGATGTGAGAACCATGCTTGGCGTACGGAACTGGAGAGCTGCAGCAGAAGACAGAGCCAACTGGTGGAGGCTCTTGGAGGAGGCCCAGTCTTGGTAACGGGATGTCGTGCCACGTATGATGATGATGATGAATTATTTTTCTTGCCTATACTACAAAAACAGGAATTCCCACAGATTTAATTCTCAAATGACAAGCCAATTATTATGCATTGGTGAGGAAGCTAGATTGATTCTACGTGGTGGATGTTATTTTATGTTTTTAATGATAAGAAAATCCAAACCACACAATATAAGGCATTTATTATACTTTCTTCAGAGAAAGATTCAGATAACAGTCTGAATGAATAGAAAGTAGAATCTTAAAAAAAAAGCACATAATCACTTTTATGGTTTAATGTCCAAATTTGTTAATTTAAGATGGCTTTTCTATGGAAACGAATAGTTTATGGTCATTTGCACAAAAAGACTTTCTCTGTGACAGTTTTTATTAGGTTGATTTTAATTCCTCTTTATCAACTTATTAAAAGAATTCATTATCTTTTAATATTAAAAAAAAATGGAATAAATTAAATAATATAACATAATACATTTAATTTAATTAACTACATTATAAATAGTAAATAAAATATTATACATAATTATGATAGACATCTCTTTGACAAATGAAATTATTTTAGTTCCTTTGTGGTCAATACATACTTGGCATTTTTAATGTTCAAAAAATAAAGTAAACAAAAAAATAGCCAAAATGTGCTAATGCTCTTCATCAGTTTCATCACCACTTCCAGCACTGCTTCTGGTTCCATCAGAATCATTGTTAATTTCTTCAGACTTCGGAACAGTAACTTCTGATTTTGTTTTTTCAATTTTTACTTTTTTTGTTTTGTCTCCTTCAAGGAAGCTGCTCCAATTATCCAATCTTTCAGATATCTCTGAATCTGTTTCAGCAATTCTAAAAAAGAAAGGATAAATTTTAATAAAAATTAAAATAATTTTGTATAGTATAGTATGACTGTTAATTGCTTAGGGACAGTTTAATTTAACTTTACAATTGTAAGAATACCAATTAATTTTATTATTATAATACCTCGCGCGGGCTCATTACCGTGTATGGGGAGCGTCCCACGGGTGGCGGATGTGGAGATGGTCGGTGGAAATTCCTTGGAAGTTCCTCCCGGCTAAGTCCGATGAACTCGCTGACCAACAATGAGAGGGGCCCTCCAGACTTGCTGGAGGGAGGGGACCTCCAGACTTGCTGGAGGGAGGGGCCCACCAGACTTGCTGGAGGTAGGGGCCCACCAGACTTGCTGGAGGGTGTGACATAGAATTGAATGCCCTACTCACATAATTTTAGTTCACCAAACACTACAAATAGTCATGGATCTCCCTAAGGTAAAACGCTCATTATCCGGAGGTAAACTAGTCCCCCGTTCGGGTCTCTGGGTGGGGACTGCTTTAAGGGATTCATGGTGCAAGTTGAAAAATAGGGATTTAAATATTGGTACGTGGAATGTAAGGAGTTTAAACACAACAGGGGGGCTAAAATCGGTCGCGAATGAGGTAAATGGGTATAATTTAGATCTCGTGGCTCTGCAAGAGGTTCGCTGGCCAGGGGAGGGCTCGATGAGGGAAGGAAAGTACACTATTTGGTATGGAGGAAGCGGGACGTACAATTCGTTAGTGATAGAATTTCGGTAGCTATATTTCAGGGACGTTGGTTTAAAATCGCATTAATAAACATACATTGCCCGACCGAAGACAGTGACGATGAAGTTAAAAATGAATTTTACGATAAACTCGAATGGGTTTACGATAAACTACCGCGAAACTACATGAAAATGATTGTAGGTGACGCGAACGCAAAGATAGGAAGGGAAGAAGTTTATATTCCGACGATTGGTAAAGAAAGTTTGCACGAGTATAGTAATGATAATGGGATCCGTCTGATAAACTTTGCCATCTCGAAAAAAACAGATAATTAAAAGTACGACGTTTAAACATAAGGATATTCATAAATATACTTGGACATCACCGGATTCGCAAACACGAAATCAAATCGATCATGTCTTGATACAACATAGCTAGGAAAGCAGTATAATTAATGTACGGTCTTATCGTGGAGCATAATGTGGGTCGGATCATGAATTAGTAATCGCGAAACTTCGACAAAAACTTAATATAAAAAAGAAAAAAGAAAACCGTTTCGATTTTGAGAATTTTAATTTGGAAAAATTAAAAAATCCATCAATTAGAACCCAATTCGAGCTAGATGTTAAGAATAGGTTTGAAGCTTTAGAGCTTCCTGACGAGGACCACGAGGATATTGACAAGTTATGGGTAGTGATCAGGGATAATATTAAAGCGGTCGGTAACTCGTGCCTAGGAAAAAAGGAAAATAAGAATAACAAACTGTGGTTTGATGAAGATTGCTTAAACATGTGCGAAAAACAAAAAGCCGCTAAATTAAAAGCTCTAAATAATCCTAGCGAAGACAATCTGGAATACTTCCGAACCTCAAAGAATGAAATAATAAAATTGCTCAAACATAAAAAAAGGGAGTAGGGCCCGTAACGTCTGGAATCAGGGATGATAATAACAATAGTCTGACCGATCCGGTTGACATATTGAATAAGTTCAAGAACCACTTTGACAATATTTTAAATACGGGAAATTATGATCTGTGTCCTCCTTCTGAGTACCAGAGTGCTGAACCGTTAATAGAAGGACCAAGTAAAGAGGAAGTTGAAGTAGCTATCGGAAAATTAAAATCTTATAAAACAGCGGGAAGTGATAATATTCCTACTGAACTAATTAAGGCATGCGGGGAAGCTGGAGTTTCTAAAATACATCAGTTGGTTAAAAAGATCTGGGTGAATGAGAAATTACCTGAAGAATGGAAAGAATCTATTCTTATTCCAATTCACAAAAAGGGTCCGAGGACGGATTGTAATAACTATCGAGGAATTTCACTCCTTCCGGTATGTTATAAAATATTCACTTTAATCTTAACCAGTCGGATCACGGAATACGCCGAGGAAATTATCGGAGACTACCAATGCGGATTTAGACGGAATCGTTCGACTATTGATCAAATATTTTCTTTACGGCAAATATTAGAGAAAAAATTGGAGTACAACGGTATTGTTCACCAGCTGTATATAGATTTTAAAAAGGCTTACGATTCTGTTGACGGCCAGAAACTGTATAATATTCTACTCGAGCAGGGGATTCCAAAAAAACTAGTAAATCTAGTCAGGATGTGCTTGACGGAAACACTCAATGAAGTTAGAATCGGTCATAATTTGTCCAAAAATTTGAGGTTCGTTCGGGTTTAAAACAGGGGGATTCCCTTTCGCCTGTCCTGTTCAATTTGGAATTAGAACATGCCATTAGGGATGTAATGCGTACCGAAAAAGGGTTGGATCTTGGTGGGACAACATCGTGCTGGCATGCTGATGATCTGGTACTGTTAAGCGAAGACGTTGAAACTATAAAACTAAATACGACAACGTTAATGAAAGCCGGTAAAGAACTAGGACTCGAAATAAACGTGGATAAAACAAAATATATGGTTAGCTGCAAAAATGGCGATACTACTGGTGATATCGATATAGATGGTAATATGTTTGAACAGGTAGATAAATTTAGGTATCTAGGTTCTACGATAACTAGAAAAAACGAAATTGAAGAAGAGATTAAGGTTAGACTGAAGGCGGGAAATGCTTGTTATTTTTCTGTGACAAAACTACTTAGTTCGCGCCTCTTGTCCCGGAACTTAAAAATTAGAATCTATAAAACAATTATCTTGCCTACAGTTCTTTATGGATGCGAAACTTGGCCGCTTACATTAAGGGATGAGCAGCGTCTTAAGGTTTTTGAAAATAAAGTATTGCGTAGAATATTCGGACCGAAGAAGGATGAGTTAACCGGAGAGTTCAGACGGTTACACAACGCCGAATTGCTTGAACTGTATCCGGGTAATATAATTGAGGTAATTTCATCGCGGCGAATCAAATGGGCTTGTAAAGTTGTTGGACTTAGTAACGAGAGAATTCCTAAAAGGTTAATATTTGCTGTGCCGAATGGTAAGCGTCCGAGGGGTAGACCGAAGCAAAGGTGGGAAGATTGCATTAAAGCCGATCTGAAGGGACTGGGTTTGGACGGCGAACGGTGGAGGGAGGTGTGAAATAAGCGATTGGTGGTGTTGGCATCGAACCTTCGGGTTCGCTAAGCCTTTTATTATTTATTTATTTATTTATTATTATAATACACAATTTCATATATTTTATAACATATGGTTTCTAATATGCCTTACTCAATGTTAAGCAGAGAGTTCAATAGAATATAATTTGCACTTTTTTTGTATTTTAGAAATTAAATTACTGAATTATTAGCAGTGTCCCACAATAAATTTGGATTATACATGTCAAATTCATTCGCATGAAGAAGTGCATATTTTTAAATGAATAACATCCCAAATTTTTGAGCACAAAGAAAAGAGGCAATGTAAAAAAAAATTAGTTGACTGAGAGCATCTATGATTTATAGGTATTATCTTAAGTTTTTAAACTGTGACTGACTTAAAAAAACACAAAAACTTAAATATCCTACTTTTTTGCAGAAAATTGGACCATATTATTTACTTTTTTGTAGAAATAAACAATTAAAACATGAAAATTGTTTATCCTTTCATATTTCTACTCTTCTTCTTCCTTGTTATATAGCCAACAGTAATGACCAGTAAGCTATACTGACCAGTTTGTCACATTTATTTTGTTTGTAAAGTTATATCTTTATTTATACCTTGCTAACTTCTATATTTACTAATTTTTCCCTTTGCCCGAAATTAATGTGTACGTTAGTGACCAACCAAGATAGTGATTTGATATAAGAAGAAAATGGAAATGTAATATCATAAATCCACCGCATAAATATTTACAATGAAATATATACATATCAAATTTAATAAATTGCCATACTTAAACTTAGTTTTTCCATCCCACGTTTCAGCAGTAATCTGACGTTTTCCAAACCACCTGTTGTTGAGAAGCTGAACACAAGCATCAGCAGCTTCAGGTTCCTTGAAGATTACTTGTGCGACACCTTCTGGATGACGCTAAGAAAAAATAATTGATTATTGAACACGCAGAACGTAGATTTTTTTTTTTTTTAATCAATTTAGAAACTAGATGATAGTTCACAGTTTACCATAGTAGATTTAAGATGAAAAAGATCTATCAAAGTAAAAACTAACTGAATAAAAAAAAATAAATAAAAAAAGCTAAAATAGGAAATTACTATATTAGACTAAATGTAATATTTTTTTTCATAGGTCGATATTCGTTTCTATGAGTGATCTATGACAAATACTTAAACAATGTTCTCTTTTTTAATTACATATTCTTCAGCTATTATATGTAAATACCTTAAAGAAAAAAGTAATAATAATGATTTGAATCATAAATTTTATTTATGATGCAATAAGGAGCATAAAGGATTCTAAGAATTCTCAAATATATATATATATATATATATATATTGTATAATTGCCAGCTGAATCTGCAACAAATGAAATATATATATATATATATATATATATATATATATATATATATATATATATATATATATATATATATATATATATATATATATATATATATATATATATATATATATATATATATATAATATATATATATATAGAATCTGCAACAAATGAAATATATATATATATATATATATATATATATATATATTTCATTTGTTGCAGATTTAGCAAGTAATTAATATACCTCTTTAATTGGAAAATTCTAGCACAAAAAAAATACTTTAGTTAATAATCTGACATTTCAAACTATTACCAATATCCTTCCAAGGCTTTTGAAAAGAAAATGGCTACAGAACCTCCTAAATTAAAATAATCATTGAAGTGTTATAAATGGATAGTTGCTTCACAATGAATTATGTTTTATATTTTATATACAGCAGATTTACTTATTGTATTTTTTTTTTTTTTTTCACGGAACGGCCATAGAGACCACGCGAATATCATGACATTTGGCTTCTTTCTTGTTTTTCCTTTCTTTCCTCTTCTCTCTCATTATCTCCGTGTGCCGCCGCTTTCTCTCCTCCGTCCACGCGACTCCCTTTCTCGAACTTTTCTTCTTAACAAGAGCCGTGATCTCCTTTAGTCTCTTACCATACCCCTCTCTGTCCAGACAGTCCTAGTCTGTTATTCCAAGTCTTTCCGTTTCTTCCTTCATCTGCCTGATGTATTTTCCGTTTCTAGATCTCTTGTGTCCTTGTATATTTCCTGATTGGATCTTAGCCTGTATCTTTCTTTTGTCTTTTTGGGACCGTAAATCCTTCTTAGAATATTTCGCTCTATTCTCAACAATTTTTCCAGACTGGGGAGGCATGTGGTTTCCGTACCGTATAGTATCACAGGTTTAACAACTGTATTGTAGTGTCGTATTTTTGCTTCCGTGGACAGATTTCTCTTGTTGTATATGTTACTGGTTGCAAAAGTTAGTTTTTCCAATTTGGCTATTCTTTCCTTGATACTTTCTTTTTCCGAACCATTATTACATATAGTCTCACCCAGGTATTTAAATTTATTTGTTAGATTTATTGACCCGTATTTGGTTTCCACTGTTTTCTTCTTGAAGTCTGCATCTGTGGTCATTAATTTTGTTTTTTCGTAGGAGATTTAAAGACCAGCTTTTTTGGCTATTTCCGTCAGTGTATTTATTTGGTCGATTGCCTCTTCTGTTTCCGCTAAAAGTGCAAGATCGTCTGCGTAGTTAAGACACCTTACCTTGACGTGGTTGTTTTTGGTCTCTATACTTGCACCCACATCATTGGTTTTCCACAATTCCTTCATTATCCTATCTAGTACCACGTTGAACAGTGTTGGGGAGAGACTGTCTCCTTGTCTGAGTCCCGTCCTTATCCGGAAAGATTTGCTGGTGGTTCCTCTGAATCTTACCTTGGATTCGGTGTCAGTTAGTGGTAATTCTATTAGTTTCCTGGTCTTCGGGTCCACTCCGTATTTCCAGTAGTGTATTTCTATCCACTGAGTCGTACGCTTTTTTAAAATCAACAAACGAAATGTAGAGGTTCTTTTTGGGCTTTGTTTTGTTGTATTTTATGAATAATTTTAGGCTCAGGATTGTATTTTTATTTATACAGTTGTAAATTTTGAAAAATGAGGGGATTCAAAAAAGAAATAATTGTGTTTTGTGGCTGTTTTATTTCAATTCAACATGACTTAGTTTTTTCCTCTACACCATATAACTAAATAATATAGGAGAAAAAATATTTAGTTTTATTTATGATGTCAAAACTCGAGCTTACTAGAGTCAAATGGGAGTTCAAAAACTATTATTTAAATTATGTACTTCAATAGTACAAGACTGAAGTGTGAAGAAGACTGATTAAGACAGCAGAAAAAGATCTACAAGGTCTATAAAGCTAACAGAAAATAAAAAAATAATTTCCTAGGCTTCCTGAAAAGAAGCATTCAAACAAATTATTTATTATATTTCTTATAAGAATGATTGTCTAGTAACTATGAATAAAACTTTGGATTGGACTGGAATAATTTCTTTTGGAGATTATTTTCCATATAGTAAAAACATTTTCATCTGTGCATACTGTGTTATTCAAACTTAATGGTGACATAGTGTTTACTTTATGACATATACAGTATTATAAACATGACATTAATTTATTTAAAATAGGTTTCCATCTTAAGATAGGTAGGTATATGTTAATATCTGTTAAGAGAATAAAAAAACAAACAAAATAATCTATATAATAAACTTACATCATAAAGCATAACTTTTCGAACATCACCACATTTTCTACACTCTTCACGAAGGTCTTCCTGATACTCCAGAATAAGTGAAACATCTTCATCAAATATTTTTGGATGAAATAAATTCTTGATAATGACAACTCTTTCATGTTTTGACCTTTCACCCACAATTTTCTCTGGTCTCCAGTCAAATAATCTGGAAAATTATATTTTCCTAATAATTCATAAAACACTAATGTTAACTAAGTTGGTTTTCCCAGAGATAACTGAAAAGAAAGAAATTCTTTTCACATGATTAAAAACTTATTCTTTAATAACTCAAATAGTTGGTTTTTTTTTGTTTTTTTTTTAAAGATCATGATTAACTGGTCATTGGTGCTGATTACTAATCGACAATTCCATTAAAATATATAAATTAAACAACCACTTATTAATATTAAACAACAATTAAATTAAAACTAATCAAACAACAAGAAAATTAAAACCATATAAAAATGTGACATGCAACATCCATTTCACTATTAAAAACACATTAAACAGTATGGGCATGTCTTAAGATAAAAATAAAAAATGCATATAAATAAAATGTAACCTAATGTGTTTACTGCATTCTGTTCCTATACATGTTAGGAAATTGAGAGGAATAAATAATCAAATATTATTTTTATTTTTCTTAGGAAAAAAAACTATCTTAGTAGAGAAAACCTACAAACCATAATTTAATAATATCAAATTCATCATTATTCAGACATGTTGGAGGTGAAAAAAAATAAGTGATATCTCTCCCAAAACAACTTCAATATCCCATGCAAAACAAGGCAACCATAAAAAAGGATTGTTTTCAAAAAGATTGCCCTGCACTTAGCGCCTCAGTGTAGTATCCATAGAAAAATAAGGATGTCACCCCCAGGAACTCAGTTCTTTGGATGTTGGGGAACACGTCCAACTGAGGAACTATTGACGATGACCAAAGCCTTTTATTCCTCTCTTCTCCTCAAAAACAGTGCTAACGAAAGTAGAATTTGAATATCTGTAGTTTGTGTAGTTTGAATATATTTGTGTAATTATATACCATTACACATCCTATTGTCTGTTCCATGATTCCACTTGTCTTTTGAATTCAAACTTTTCATTTTGAAAATAACCCCGTTGAAATACACACCCCTCAAAAATTGAAAAACCCATCAAAATGTGCCTCTCTCGTTAACTTTGATGGAGCAGCTTGCACCATAAAACCCCCTTCAGGGCACCCCTGGCCAGGCCAGCATAGCAACTGCGCCCACCAAAATTAAATAACAACTACTTTCGAGTTGCACTCCATTTTTTCTAAGCTAAGCTGCGAAGGATACATTCTTTATTATAATACTGCTTTACTTATGCGCGAACCTCCAAGACACCTCCGTTTTATTATTTTATATATATTTTTTTTTGCGGCAATATTATTAAAACAAAGTTGTAATATCACTTATTTTTAATGTTGTTGCTGATCAATTAGTTGTGATATCACTTATTTTTTTTATCTATTCCAACTCTTATGATAATAAAAAGGAAATTAAGTAGTTGCTCATACTTTTCCTGCATTTTTTTAATTTTTTCTCTATCCTTCCTTTTCTTTTTTTTGGGCTTCAATGATGGGTCATAAGATTCACCTTTCATAGTAAATTTAGCCCTTTCCACATGAATTTTATTTCCTCTCAGGTCGTATCCATCGAGGATATTTAAAGCTAATGCGACAGATTCAACCTATAAAAAATAAAAAAAATTAAAAATATAAGTATTAACAAGGGTATCTTTTTGTAAAGCTCGTTTTTATTGAAAAATAATAATAAAAGGTGGCAAAATCATGGGCGATTAGTATTAGTGCTCCAAGCGCAATATATCCATACTACATAAAAGCTAAAATGAATAAAATAATAATTCCTAAACAAAATTATAAAAAACATATATGGTAGAAATATGTATATTAATAAATAAATTAAAAATACAATAGCGAAACAATGAATAGAAAACACCATAATATTCTATAAACAAGGTAAAGAACATTAAATTTAAGAAAAGGCCTCCTAGAAACAGATTTACACATAATTATAAAACACCATCACACATAATTTACATCCAGCCTAGCGAACTCCGAATCAATCTTCGTGTCCCTCAGGGTGAAAGGCAAAGCAACATGCATCGTTGGAGGTAAGGCAGGAACTCAAAAGGCCCCTTCACACTGAAGATGCATCTTAAACATTGGACTGTGTAATAGAATGAGAGCTTTCACACCGAAGATGCAAGTGGAGCCTGGATGTAAGACGCACCTGCATCTTGGAAACCAGCCGGCTGGAGATTTTTAGCGTGCATCTTTGTTATGCTAGTCTTGCATAACAAAGATGCCTCTTCCACCTCGGCTCGCCCGAAGCAAAATAATTTTGAGGAGCAATCATCGGATCCGGTCGGCTTACACCGCCAACGTTCGGTCTACCTCTTACGTTTCTATCAATTGCTTTTTTATTTTCAACTATTCTTTCTTTTTTGTTATCTATTGTTTAATTTTCAACTATTTTTCCACATGTTTTTACCTATTTTTCTTGTTATTACCGTGAAAGATTTAAAATTGTATGCCGAAATTGCAATAAACCGTTAGTAATCGTTTTCTATTGAAATGACGGGTGAATGTAATGAAGTGGTGTGACCTAGGATTTCTTTTCTTATCTGTCCTGATGATGCCTGAATTGGTGAATCGTTGACGGCATATTTTATTCTTTACCTGCATTTTAAAGACACGAAGCTGTGAGTTTGTAGTTTTCCAATTATAAGGTAACATTTATTCTCCCCCTCCCCTATCCAAGATGTGGTGCTGATATTTTTAATAAAAAACGCTGCAGAAAATATTTCTAAGTAATGTTTTCAGCTTTGAGCTACATTCAAATATTTAAAAATGAGTTATGCAATTCATGGGAAAATATAGATATTTATCTCAGAAATACGAGTTCAGACAAACACAACCGACAATTTGTATCCCGACGACTCAGTGACGGTTCCATGAGATAAAACTACTTGTTAAAAGTAGAAATCTCCATTTTATAGTACGCCTGAAACCTTACTGATGGTATATGGTTCTTATTACTGTACAAGCCATAATTATAATTTTGTATTCTGAAAAGTCGGATGATTGATTATTCATTCTTCAAACTCACGTACTAAACTAAGATAATCGATATAAATAGAAGATGCAAGAGGCACGTGCATCCTTGGTATGAAAGCTCTTTAATCAAGATGCTAGACGCACTTGCATCCTGCATCCAGGACGCATGCATCTTGCGTCTTCCATCTTCGATGTGAAAGGGGCCTAACAGTTTGATTGGAGCATTCCATCTCATCCTCCGTATTCCCCAGACCTTGCCCTATTCGGATATTATTTGTTTCTCTGGATAAAAAAATAATTCTCTCCGTGATAAACAAAATTTTTACAAAATCTGAGAGGGAAATAAAAACGCAACAAATAAAAAAATTTGGAAAGAGGACATAATGAGACTTTCTGAGAGATAGCAGAAGGTAATAAGAGTAGAGCGGTTCATATATAGCACAGTAAAATCAACCTTAAACAACAAATATTGTTTATTTATTTCGCATAAAAAAAAAGGAAGACATTTATAGGACACCCTAATATAAAAATTTCAAGGAAGTAAACATCGTATAAATGACTTCAGATTATTGGAAACTCGAATTACCAAGACTATACTGGACACAGGCGGATTTACGGGGGGGGGGGGGGGGAGCTTTCGGGCTGAAGCCCCTCCAAAATGGTAAAATGTAACCATGTTTTATGGTAAAAAATTATACCTTAAAGTATTAATGCTCGTTTAATTACATTTAATAGGACTTCAAGAATCACTTAAACACCGTTTCATATAGGTAGTTAGTATCTTTCTGTTTTCCCAAAGTAATTATTGTTATATTTATAAAAAAAAAATCTTCCGGGCTGAAGCTCCCCCCCAAAATTAAATCCTGAATCAGCTAGTGATACTGGATTAAGTTTAGGGTGTCATAAAACATGTTTGCCATAGACCTCCAAAATCACACTTACGCTACAGTCCTGAGCAACATCCGGAGTTTGGACAAATCTACAGAAAGAACTTTGGTTTTCACACTTTTCAAAGAAAACGCAACTTGAAAAAGCTCTATTAACAAATGAATGAAACGATAGATGAAGCAAGAATGATTCACCAGTACTATTAGGTCTACACTAAAATGCTATCGAAACTGTTGATATTAAACATACTATTAAAAATTAACATTCTAATGAAAAATAGGTACATTTTACTATCACTAAAAATTAGTTTAAAATATTACAATGAAAAATGTGATTTTATGATTGCTAAATCTTTCGAAGACTATGAAGATTATAAATTTAAAATTTGGTGTAAAGATTGGTTTAGCAGTTTTAGTGATTAGAAACGAAAGAAAAACGGATTGTCATCTTATTATAACAGTACGTCCTTACATATCACGTATATTGGTAAATATATTACAAATACTATAAACTGTTTATTAATTTTGAGGTGAAAAAGGTTCTAAGGACAGGTTTACCTACTGAACCATATTCAAATATGAAAATAGGAGATTAAGTACGTTGTTATTTGACTTAAAATGGGTATATTTATTTTTGTATTATTAGAAACTTTTAAACAGAGGTATACTTCACCAGGATTGTTTTTGGGTAGTAGAGGATATACCCTGCCTATCCATTGATGAGAGTTCAAGATACTTGTGAACAAGCTTTCTTTGATTTTACAAAAACCTTCTGCTTTGAAAATTCTAGGGAATTTACGGTTCGGATGTGGCTGTCAGCCAATAGCTCCGTGTAATGAATGGATCGTCGAGTCTTTGAAATTGTTATCTCCCGGCAAAGGAAGATAGGGAATAAAGAAGGATATAAGATAAAAAGACCTAGTAGAGGCAAAAAGGATAGGCCGGCGTGCAACAAACAGACAGCCTAGACAAGAGATAAATATAGCACGAGGAAGGGCAATAGATGTATGCCTAGTTGGCGATTATCTCATGAGACGGCAACTTGGCACATGCACTCCACAACATCGGTGCACTGCTAAAGCCATCACCTACAACATTCACGAATAAATATAACCAACCCATTGAGCCAGCCTTCGTCCCTCTCTATCTCGCTTTAGATCAGAGAGTAAGTAACTCATGAATCCAGGAATCGACATTTTATCATTCTTTTTGTTGCAAATCGGTTATGAGGAAGGGGGTCAATGATCAATACAGAATCGCTTATGTACATTGCAATGAAATTTCAATCTGTAAATGATAAATATTCAGGAAGCAGTCATTATAGAGTTTTATTGGTGCCGACGTTTCAACCCAAACCTATGGGCCATCACCAGGACGTATTTCCAGCACTGAAGGTATTCAAGTGCTCTGTAGTCTAGTACATGAATATCTTCAGGGCTCGAAGCACGCCCTGATGATAACCTCCATGTTTGGGTTGAAACGTCGGCACTAATAAAAACATTATAATGACTGCGTCCTGAATATTGATCACCCATGATATGTAGAACAGTCGACTAACTTCCTTCAATGATTCAATCAGCAAAACATTTAGCTCAAAGAAACCAACATCTTATTGCACCAACTAATATTATGTGTTCATTTATATTTTAATTATTGTAATTGTTGAAGACTTGATTCTTATTAGTTAGTAACTTTAGTTTGAGCATTTTCTTTTAACATTGTGTATTCTCAACTCCAACATTTCGAGTCTAACAGGGCCCTTTATTGAAGGAGAATTAGCCTATATTTTTAACTCCAATAACTTTCTTTTTATTTATAAAATTTAAAAATGTATAAAAAAAAAATACAACTAATAAATATGAACAAAAAAGTATAATAAAATCGAGAGATTTGTAAAGTACCACCCATTGATAACACTCCTGTAAAAGTCCTACATTAAAAGGTTTTGATATAATCTTCTTTTAATGTTCAATATTTTTAATATTAAATATGTTAAAAAAGTAATCGAACAAATTAGGATGTGTTAGGTTTAATTATAGTAAGCATCTCCTTGAAAATGACATATTAGACTGAAAAGTTTAAGATCAGAATAAAGAACTTTAACACAAAAGAATTAAATAAATGATTGCTAATAATATTCTCTACTGTACTTTAATAATGATAATAATAATAATTAGAAATATTTAAATAGATGGTAGTAAACATCAAGTGGTACAAAAAAGGTCATATTAGTCCAAGAGCAAAGGACCAAAATGTATTATGTAAAGAAATTTCAATGAATGTTTTATGTTCTCTCCTACTTGTACACTAAAGTTTTAGCTTCCACTTCAAAATGGCCGGAATCCCAAATGGCGGCTTTCCAATGGCACCTAGAACACTTTTTGGCTTTCCGCTTATATCAGGAAAGTATATTAATGTATTTATATACAAACAGTATGTACTATATTTATTAGTATCACCTTAATATGTAATATGTGTTATATTCTACATTTTCAGGCGCATTTGTTTTTTAAAAGTAATATTGTTTCGTACAGTTGAATAATATTTTCCATCCTTCGGCTCCTTCAGAAATGCAATGACTACAAAATACTTCTTTTTTTCCGTTAATTCCTCGCCATTAATGGTATAAGGAGAAGGCGGGATTAAAATTTGAAAGTTTGGTGACTACTAATACCGTTTCACCTTCATGCCCTGCAATTTTTAACTTAATTACCGCATTAATA